ATGATGAGCAAAAGTTCTTTTTCATTGTTTTAGTTTGCACTTGATGACCAGTGATGTATTGAGCATTTTTCACTCATTAGCCATTTGACTTTTAAAAAGTGAATGATCCCTTTTGTCCTTTGCACACATTTAAGTGAGGGAGCTTCTTGTTGCTTTGTGACAGCTCTTTGTATGTTATCAACATTAACCCCTTGTCTTCATCAACATGTATCACACAGCTTTTTCTTGTCATTTCTTGCCTTTCATTTTGTTCAGTAGGTTCATTTTTGTTGTGGCCCAAAATATTCTTAAGATAAAAAATGTCTTCTTTTTGGGTTTTATCCTTGATATTATGCTTTGAAATACTTTCTTATAATGGTATAAATCTCTTCTGTAGGTTTTTTTAATCTCTAAGATGGAGATGATAATAGTACTTGTTATACTGAGGAGAAGTTGAATTAATATGAGCAAAGGGTTGTATTTGCTCTTATTAGTACTTTCTAATATTCACATCACTTTCTGTAATTTTTCTTGTGGTCATTATGACCGGAATAGAATTTGTTTTTTCCAGGAGATTCTCTGATTGTCCAAAGACAATTATTGAATTCATACTTTGCTCTTTGATTTGAAATGCCACCTGTGAAAAATACTTATGTACACTAGAGTCTCTTTTTGAGATCATGGTTAATTTCTGTCAATCTTACATTCTTACTCCAGCGCTATTTCTTACATATTGTAAAAATTTACATAATATTTGACAGTGTGATTTTTTTTATTCTTTTTTCCATCCCTAATTTTCTTGGCTAGTATAATGACTTTATTACTCCTGAAGAATTCTAAAATACTATTTTCAAGTTAAAAAAATAGATAAGAGTTGTCATGGGATTTTTTAGTAAGTTTTGTATTATCTTTAGGAGAACGTACATCTTTACAAAACTGCTTTCCTCCATACAATATGTTGATGTCTCTACATTCACAGCTCTTACTTTACCCCTCAGTACATTCCTGTACTTTCTGCATGTACA